CGAACACGGCCCAAGTTATAACCGCATTCTGCATTTCCAACGGTTGGGACGCATTCGCCCACCAGTGGTGAGCATCTCCTTCCAGCATGTACGTCGAGAATAGCACCTTCTGATCGTCGGTGCATTGGATAACTCGAAAAATCTTGTCCATTGCTTGCAGCCATTGTACAGCTGCCATTGAGTCAGGACTTCCTTGAAAGGAGGGTGGTTTGTGCTTTCTAAACGTCAACAGTAGTCCTTGGTTATCTTGACCTGCCGCACCGTTTCCTAGAGGAGGTCGGGGTCCTTCACCATGACCCCAGGCTCCTGTTCCCGAGCCGCTTGCTCCGTTATTGTTTGCATTAGCATTTGGGTTCCTTCTGATCTCATTCATTATATTCTGAAACATATCTCCCGTGTTGGTTTGTAATTGGGTGATGGTGTCCCGCAACGTGTTAATTTGTCCTTGTATATCTTGCGTAAGGGTTCTTCGTGGAGGCATCTTGCTGTACATAGATACAGCAAATGGTTAGTGTTCCATCCTAATCCGAAATTTTGCTCTGATACCATAAATGTAACACCCCAAATGTAAATACATATAGGGTGCACCTTCATCATGCATTCAACGCGCGGAAGTCTAAATTTAACTTTACGAATGCAAATATCAGAGTGCGGAATGGAAACACATAACCATACTTATTCCATATAAAATTAAAAGCGTTAAAACGTCAATATAAAATAAATAACACTAAACATTATTTAATGTAATCCCAAAAAGATTAACTAATCATAAATAAAAACATAATTTATGCCGCATCATAAGCCCAGTCATAATGTGGTTGTGGTTCCTCTAGCCATTGTGTACTTAGTGCTTCATCGAAATCATAATGTGGAAAAGCTTCTATTAATAATTTCATAGCCTCAGTCCATAGGCCTCTATCAGTTAGATCCTTTAGTTTCTCTTCCCAGGTAGGTGGAGTTTCTTCTTCTTTACGTACCAGTCTCTTACCCTTTCTTTCCCACATAACTTTCTTATTACTTTCTTTCATCTTTTCCTGAAATGGGTGGTCAAGGGGGGTGAGATTTTGGGGAAAATCTCAGTAAGGTTCACAGCTGGAGCATTCTCCAACTATGACGCTTACTCCTGCAACAGTTTATAATAACAATACAAAATGGAACATTTAACATCATCATATAAAAATATCATGCCATCATCATCATCATCATATTCCTGCCGGCTTTTACGGACTTACGGAGATACCCAGAGTCCTCGTCAGGTTGCAACTGGAGTATCAGTGCACAGGCCAACATTTAATAGCATGGTTTTAAGTTTCAAAAATATCATAATCACATAATGCAAAGCACTATAAACATATTGCAGTCAGACCATAACTTATCATAGTTTCATAATGGTGGCATACATAGAGAGATTACTTCAACAACTGTAAACACTTACAGTACTTGTCGTTCTTTACTTGTATACTTTCAACTTTTGATCTCTTTACTTGCCTGTTTGCTCCCTTGACTCCCTAACATCATCATATCATCTTTTAGTAACTTATATAACATTCAACATTTGTGTTTTATCCATGTATAGGTCTCGGCTTTGCAGGTTTAATTACCTAGAGGAGTTGTTTTGCTTACTTACCCACTTGTGTAGGTTTTAGGACATTATTAGGTCATCATAACACTTAATAGAATTATTAAAGATTTCATTCTAGGCATGTATAGGTTCGGCCACCATAGATAAACATCTAGGAATATAATTTTTAAGACATGCTTTCAATTATATTATTAACTTAACATGGTTAGATCCTTTCAACATTAATCAAATAAAACCTCTTTTAGCTACATACCATTCGGCCTTATTGCCCTAAAATACCTAAGGGATTACTTCTAAAACATGCTTCTAACATTATTGATAATTTATCATATTTAAATCCTAGAGCATCATTCAAAACATCATCTTATATATTCGGCCAACTAAGGTTATGATCATGCAAAATTGATTTAGAACCTAGGCTACTAAACATGCTAATCTAACATCATCATTTCATCATCTTTCATATCATTTAAACATCTCTTCATGCTTATAATTATCATACATGGTTCGGCCTTCTAGGGATCATATACTTAGGATATCACTTTCATGCTTTTACATGTCATTCCTAACCAAGAAGGTTCATAGGCTTACCTTTGATGATGATCAACGACTTAAGGAAACACTTCTTGACCTTTGACTACTTTGAATCTTCTTGAATGAACTTCCTTCCTCCTTGAACATACAAGGCCGCAAGCTTAAAGAGAGGGGAAGAGGGATTTTCTTGCTTAGAGATGAAGGGTTCTTCGGTGGAATTGTTAGGAAGAAGGGCTAAGATCCAGGCTTGTATTTGATCTTGGAACAATTAGGTATTTCTCACTAACACACTCACCATTTCGAAGCATTCATGGACTTCACAAAATGAACTAAACTCTTTGTTCTTTCCTTTGGTAGTGTCGCGGCTATAGAGGGAAAAAGGAGAGACTAAAGCTTGTTCAAATAGGCAACCTAGAAGCCTTGCCATTACTTGATTGCTGGTAGGTTTCGATCACATTAAATGAGAGTAAGGTGGTGATTTGTTGTCATAGGTTAGATTGCTTAATTTAGGGACAAGAACATGATGTCAATTTCCTTGATTAAGGAAATTTATTGATTGCTTGATTTAAGGAATTGATGATGTGTGACTAATCGTCATTAAAAGTTGCTCCCTTGATTTAAGGGATTGATGAGGTGTGACTAATCGTCATAAAGGTTGCTTCCTTGATTTAAGAAACAGAATTATTTGATTGATTGACATATTGTCATCAATTTGCTTGATTTAGGGAAAGTGATTGACTACTAATCATCATAATCCTAACTTCCTTGTTTAAAGGAATTTGACTGGCTTGACTTAAGGAAATTCGATTTGCATTTAATGGCTTGAAAATCAAATAAAATCAAATTCATTTCCTACACCTAGGCCGCGGATTTTAAATGCTTGGAAGGATAATATTTCCTTTAATTTTGGACCATGATTTATTCCTTAAGATTATGGACCTTTAACCTATTAACCTGACCTAATTTGTGCCTATTTTTCCATGATTTTATGACACTTTAAATTGACTTCTTAGAGCTTGTTTTCTCTAGTAAAACCGTGGGCTTCTTGCTTGTAGGGAAAGAATTCTAATTTAATTCCTAGTCATATAGTACTTCTTTAGGTTTATTATGTCATGGCCTTACTTTGGGCTTTAACTTGATTTGGGTTTCATTTACCTTATTGGACTTTACTTTATCATATAGAGCTTTCTTTGTATCACTTGGACTTGTCCACATTAAATGGAATTAAAACTTCCTTTGTTGGGTTATACTTTGATCCATGAATTCATTGGATCCCTAATGCTTATGTCTTTGGTCCATTGGACCCATACTTCTAATTTACTTAATCATAAACTATTTCATCTGAAATGTCTCGTTTATTAATTATCATAATTCTTCATTAATCATGATACAATATTTAGGGTTGTTATAAGAGCTAGACAGAGGAGGGATGATTCTCCTCCGCATACGGCTACGGTGACTCCTACACCTATGCCCTCTGGTATACCTTATCACGAGGGGAGTGGGGCTAATCGTCATTCTGGTGAGGCTAGTCACCATACTACTGATCCTACTTATATCCCAGAGCCTTCTGTTGATCTGACATTTGTAGCTCAGTCCTCTGGGGTTGCTGAGCAGTTATTTGCTGGTACTGATGAGCAGAGACTCATTTCATTCAGGAAACAGCAGAGACTCATTTCATTCAGGAAACACAAGCCACCAGCATTTCAGGGGTCAAGGGACCCGAAGATAGTTACTACATGGTTGATGGGGATGGAGAAAATATTCCAAGTTATGAGGTGCTAGGATCCCCAGAGACTGATGTACTTTGTCTATATGCTTGAGGGAGATGCCCACGAGTGGTGGCACAGTGCATCTCGCCCGTTCACTATTCAGGGACAGGAATCGACATGGACTCTATTCGAGAGGTTATTTCATGAGGAGTATTTTTCCAGGAATGTCCGGGATGCTAAACAGGGTGAGTTTGAGAAATTGGTACAAGGTACCATGTATGTTGATGCATATCTGGCCAAGTTTAATGAATTGGTCAAGTTCGCAAATTATGAGGGTGTTCTTCCTACCCCGAAATTCTTATCTGCTAAATTTCAGAGAGAATTAAATGAGAAAATTTCCAAGAGGATGTCTAATACTGCTGTGAGAACTTTTGCTGATCTGGTGACCCAGTGTAAAAGGGTTGAAACTGTTTACGGCAAGTATCTGAAGTCTAGTTCTTCGAGGGAGCAGGAAATTAGGAGGACATCTGGTCCTTCTGGAAATAATAACAGAGGTGGCTAACATCAGAATAATAATAGAGGTAGGGGGTTGCAGGTAAGGCAGCCTCCAGGTCAATTCAAGAGAGGTGGTGGTCAGAGGAGTGGGTTCAATGATAGAAATTCTGCTCCTCAGTGTGATAAATGTAAGAGGTATCATCGGGGTCCTTGTACTATGGCTCTGAATTCTTGTTTTAAATGTGGTAAAGTTGGGCATTTTGCCAGAGAGTGTTACAGCAATATTGGGCAGGCTGCGAATCTGCAAACCTTGCCCTCTGCTCCTACGGTTGGACGCGTATATATTACTAATGCGCAGCAGACGAAAAAGGCACCAGATCTAGTTAATGGTATAATTTTCATTTCTAATACTGATTTATCTGTTTTGTTTGATTCGGGAGCGACACATTCGTTCGTGGCAGAATATATTGCTAAAGGGTTGGGTTTAAGAGTAACACAGATGATTCCCTCCTATGCGTATTACGACTGCTACAGGAGAGATTAGTAATTCCTCCTTTATTTGTAAAGAGGTTGGGTTTGTCTACGAAGGCAGGGGTTACACTATTGATTTAATTATCTTTCCCCTGGCCTCTGTTAATTTGATTTTGGGTATAGACTGGTTGTCTTAAATCTACGCAATGATTGATTGTTGCGGCAAGAGGTTGATATTATCTCACGAGAAGCCCTCAGTTTGTCCGTCTCCGTATTTGTCTGTCTGTCAAACTATTAAAGCCTTGAAGGCTGGTGATCTGGGCTATGTCTTCTTGGATGGATTGGTTGGTGATATGGAGTTGGAGATTTCTAGTATTCCGATGGTTAATGAATTTGCGGATGTATTTCCTGATGAGATACCGGAATTTCCACCTAAGAGGGAGATTGAGTTTTCAATTGACTTGTTACCTGGTGTGGGGCCTATTTCTTTGGCTCCATACCGGATGTCGCCACTAGAGCTGGCTGAGTTGAGGAAACATATTGAAGAGCTATCTATAAAGAACTTTATTAGGCCGAGTGTGTCTCCATGGGAGCACCGGTAATATTTGTGAAAAAGAAGGACGATATAATGAGGTTGTGTACGGATTATCGGCAATTGAACAAAGTTACAATTAAGAACAGGTACCCATTGCCACGTATTGATGACTTGATGGATCAGTTGAGGGGTGCCTGTGTATTTTCTAAGATTGACCTCCGGTCCGGATACCACCAGATCCGGATTAAGCCGGAGGATGTGCCTAAAACGGTGTTCCAATCCAGATATGGACACTTTGAGTATCAGGTGATTCCTTTTGGGCTTACTAATGCCCCTGCGGTGTTCATGGACTATATGAATCGTATTTTTAAACCGTATTTGGACCAGTTTGTGATAGTGTTTATTGATGATATCCTGATTTATTCCAAAAGTAAAGAGGAGCATACAGAGCATCTAAGGATTGCATTACAGGTGTTGAAAGATAAAAAGTTGTATGTTAAGCCATCTAAGTGTGAATTCTGGCTATCTAAGGTGCAATTTCTGGGTCACGTAATTTCTGCTAGTGGTGTTGCGGTGGATCCAAGTAAAATTGAAGCGATAAGTGACTGGGAACGACCTAAGACTGTGACTGAGATCAGGAGCTTTCTGGGTCTTGCTGGTTATTATCGCAGGTTTATACAGGGGTTTTCTACTATGGGATTGCCATTGACCCGATTGACACGAAAGGATACTCCTTTTGTGTGGATCCAGGAATGTGAAGATTGTTTTCTGACACTCAAAGAGAAGTTGACTACTGCTCTTGTGTTGACCCTTCCCGATCTGGAAGGTGAGTTTGAGATGTATTGTGATGCTTCCAAGAAAGGTCTGGGGATCAATTAATGCAAGATAGGAAGGTGGTTGCTTATGCGTCTAGGAAATTGAAGCCTCGTGAAGAGAATTATCCAACGCACGACTTGGAGCTTGCTGCTATTGTATTCGCCTTGAAAATCTGGAGGCATTTTCTGTATGGGATGAAATTTGCTGTGTTCAGTGATCACAAGAGCTTGAAATATTTGTTTGATCAGAAAGAGCTGAACATGAGACAGCAGAGATGGGTAGAATTCTTAAAAGATTATGATTTCGAGCTGAAATACCATCCGGGTAAAGCTAATGTGGTAGCAGATGCCTTGAGTAGGAAGTCGGTCAGTGTGTCCCAGCTGATGATGTGGGATAATGAAGTAATCGAAAAGTTCTGTGATTTAAAGGTAAGGGATTTCTTTGAGGGTAGGATTTGTGATTTTGAAATGGTACGAATTGAGAATGAACTACATGAGAAAATTAAAGAAGCTCAGATACGGAATGACAGTATCAAATATTTAAAAGGCCAGAGTGGCATATCTGTAAATGAACAGGGGTTGTTGTTGTATCAGGGCAGAATTGTTGTTCCCAAGGAGTTAGCATATGAGGTAATGGTTGAGGCCCATAAGGGTCAGTATGTTATCCACCCAGGTGCCACAAAAATGTATCAAGATCTGAAAGAAAAATTCTGGTGGCCTGGGATGAAGAAGGATGTGGCAGATTATGTATCTAGGTGCTTAGTTTGTCAGAAAGTCAATATAGAACATCAGAAACCTGCTGGTTTACTTCAGCCACTGGATATACCAGAGTGAAAATGGGAGAACATCTCTATGGATTTCGTTGTTGGTTTGCCTCAGTTTCAGGATGGTTACGATTCAATTTGAGTTATAGTAGACAGGCTTACGAAGTCTGCACATTTTCTGCCAGTGCGAGTGGTTTTCTCTACGGAGAAATTAGCAAAATTATATGTAAAGGAGATTGTAAGGCTCCATGGGATACTGGTTAGCATTGTCAGTGATCGGGACTCGAAATTTACTTCTCGCTTTTGGGGAGCCTTACAGCAGGCTTTTGGCACTCAGCTCAGGCTGAGCACTGCGTATCACCCGCAAGCTGATGGTCAGACTGAGAGGACCATACAAACATTGGAGGATATGCTGAGAGCTTGCACACTGGAGCAGGGTAATGCTTGGGACAAGTACTTGTCATTGGTGGAATTCTCGTATAATAACAGTTTTTATTCCAGTCTGGGCATGGCACCATATGAGGCATTGTATAGACGGAGATGTCGTACTCCTACTTGTTAGACTGAGGTAGGTGATAAAGAGAGATTTGGGGCCGGATTTTGTGCAAGAAACTACAGCACAGATTGAAATGATTAGAGAAAAACTTAAACAGGCACAGAATCGGCAGAAAAGTTACTATGATAATAGACACAGACCGCTGGAATTTGAAGAAGGTGATCATGTAACTGTGCGGTTATCTCCAGTTACGGGTGTTAACCGTATATTGGGTGTGAGGAAGCTGAGTCCTCAGTTTATTGGGCCGTATCAAATAATAAAAAGAGTGGGATTAGTGGCCTATCAGCTTGCCTTGCACGAGATTTGTAAAATGTCTTACGGATAATTAAAACAATGATAGAAATGAACACTCACATAATTGAATGTAAGAGGTAAATAGTAAATATCATAAAGAGTTAATCATGAAAGGATTTGGTAAAGATGTATGAAAGTAAATGACCTAGATAACAAATTAATAAGTATTATAAGATAAGCTAAGTATGAACGAAATTTTAGTAATTAGATATGAAGTAAGATATGGACTAGGGCATGATGCTTAGAAACATGTTAAGTGGACGACTTAAAGCGATTAATGGTTAAAACGTATGTCACTGAATAATCATTTGAATAATTAGGTAAATGACAATACATAATGAAAAATAGAAATTTTATTCACCTTTTCATATTTTTAATTGTGAATCAATGAGTATAGCTTCTGCAATTTACTTAATTAAATATATTAAGCTTAATACCATTCTGATTATAATAAACCGGTCTGGAATGGGATGTTACAGTATATATAGTAGATGAACGTCCTAGTTATGTCATCTTTACATGATGGTATTCATTCTCATTGGTGGACAGAAGTGGTTTTCGCAGGCTATCCCTTGTGCGGGATGCCTAATTTTAGGCTAAAGCCTTGTGACGCAGTGGTAAGCATGTGTCTATCCTCTGGCCATTGGCAATAAAAGGTTTCATTACTCTAAATAGTTGATGTTGTATGGCCGCAATTGATTGAGCAGCTAATGTTGTGTGTGAGGAGGTTGTTGGATTGTTAAGATACACGAAACGACCGTGTTTTCTTTCTGAGGAAGCAAAAGTCTTTAGGTCTTATGACCTTTTACTAGTTGGGCCTATAATCCCGCGTGGAATGGATCCAGATTAATAGTAAAATACTATTTATTTAAATTCAAATTAAAACATATCTCATCATTTTTACAGGGCTTTTAAATCTAAATCATTAAAAAATATATGTTTTTATAGATAAAACAAGATAGCTCTTTCATCATATATAATACACTTCAAGAAGTGTCATGAAAAGCTCAAATACTTAATGTTGGAGTTGTTGATTTGGTCTCAAAAAAAGTCATGTTTCCTGATTTGGTTATAAAAGCAAATGGGGAAACATAAATTGCCATCAATGATGCACGCTATCTTTAGCACCACCCATATAATTCGTAGATTGTACTCAACCCTACACTCAAAACACCATTAATAAGTAATAGCCATTTTTTTCACATCAAAACTAATAATGGAGTAACCATAATTGTTACCAAGTGATTTTTGAAAACAAATTTGGTTATCAGCCATATTCAAAACTTTTATAATGTTGTTTGTTAAAATACTCTTATTCAAGTTCAAAACCCAAATAAGTTATTCTCCATTAAATCCCAATTAGGGAGAACAAGAATAAAAGCAATTTTTATATGCAACATTATCCTTACATATTTGTAAAAAGACTGTTTCTCGAATTCAAACTCATGACATTTCAATTACACGTAGACCGGTACGTCTAGATTGGCACAAGCCCAATGGCACATCAAGAACACAAGGCAAGTTGCATCCTCAAGTGAAGCACAGCAAGAACGCAAGGCAAGTTGCATACTCAAGTGAAGCAGTGAACTAATACATGATACCAAATTTCACCAATGTCAATGCTGATGAAACATATTGTGATAAAGCCCAAAGCTAGTAAATCAATTCTTCAATTTATTTACAACATTAATAAAATCAAGAGAAAGAATTTTAATCAAACACTGGTGAATTTTAACTCCAATCATGACGAAGAAAGTTCCCCACTGTGATTGCAACTTTCTTGAGTTAATGGGGTTTCCACATATAATGAAACAAACTTGAAAACTCCAGCAATAAGAATCACAATGTTTCTTTTCCTTATGACACATTCCCCCAAATGATCAAAGCATAAATGCTTGGAGGATCAAAGACAGCTTCAATTTCCAGACAAATATAATTTCTATTTAATAGCCCGAGTTCTCTAAATAACCAAAGTAATTCCCTTTGAGAAATGACATCATTAGCTATGACTTTTCCCTTTCTTTGATTTGTTTTTCTCTTGCATCTTTTTTTTCTTTGCTGCAGCAGTAACCCAAGTATAGTCTGAGGGAATTGCAAAGGGGTCTTGAATATTTTCAATCCTACTACTGCTGGAACCTGCAGCAGATGAACTAGCACGGTAAGGAGCCTTTATCCACTGAAACCAAGAAGAAGCTGAGAAGCTTGTCAGTGAAGGACTCTCTTGGCCAGTAGCACATGGACTTGATGGTGGGGTTGCAAATTCATCTAATGGCTGTAATTCTTCAAACTTTGTAAAAGTAACCAACACTCTGATGGTGGGAACCACAGGGATGGCAACCTGAACATGCAAGGGTAATAGGTTTAAATTCATATAAGAAGAAAGAGAGAAAAAAAAAAGACATGCAAGAGAAAAAATATGCCAACAATGACAATAATTCTCTGATTTTTAAAAAGAAAAGCCTTCAATACAAACGATATATAATCGACAAAAATTGACTCCACATCTCAAGAGTGTTATAAAAAGAGCTTTCCAGATCTTGGCCAGCAAGGCAACTGCACCACTTAAGCATTGACCTTTATTATGGAAGACCCATCTTTATACCAAGATTTATCACATGAACTAATGCAAAACACTATGACCTCGATCAAAGGATCTACCAACAAAGATGCATGTGACGAATCTGAAGACATACAAGATTTTTTATCTGTCAATCAGTCAATCTAACTTCAAGAGTTCAATAACAATCCTTAAGGCTGGTATTTATTGTCAATGCTTCTAAAATCTAAACTAAATGAAGAAAAGGTTAATAAGATCCATTATTGTAACAATAAAAAGATGCAAAGATCCATGATCCTATCCAAGTTCTTGCAGCTGGATTTTTCTAGTCAAATAATTAATAGCTCAGCTCTTATCAACATTGTTAGAATAAAAGGCAGATCCCGGTGCACAAGGCTCCCTGACTTGCGAGGGTAGGGGTGAGAGTCGATTGTATGCACAGCCTTACTCTCACATTTCTGCAAAGTGATTGTTTCGCAGACTCAAACCCCAGACCTTTTGATAAAAGAAGAACAAGTTTACTGCTGCTCCAAGGTTCACCCTCAAAGGCTTGAAATCCAGTATCTAATCATCATAGATTGCTCCAAAGTGGGACAAAGTAGTGCCCCCCAGAAACCCAGAGCAAATTGTTCCTAAAGAAAGTAGCTACCTTACAATGCAAAAACAAGTGTCCAATTGTTTCTAAACTATAACTACATGTAACACATATTCAGATAAAGAGAACATTGAGGCCAATTAATTTGAAACTACTAATTTGCAACAAGTTGTTTGCTTTGATCTTACTGAGTAAAGCAGTCCAAAAAACAAAGGGCTTCATTTTTAAGGGAGCTTTGGACTTCCAAATATGATTAGTCCAAGTTTTTCTCTCTTGATTGGTAGAAAACTGAGCAGAATCTATTAAGAAGGGAGTCTACTCTAGATCACTAGCTTACCTATCATTCAAGTCAATACGAAAATGAAATGGATGTGAAGTGAAAGGAAGCTGTTAATGGGTATATTATGCAGAGTTGATAAAGGCAAGGAAAAGCCTTAAAGAAAGTAATACTCCCCACCCACCCAAACACCCTCCCAAAACCAGATATTAGTAACATCACAAACCTAAAAAAATAAGATGGCTTAAACGTATCCTTTCCAGGGTGTATCATAAGTTGCATTGAATGTTGGGTTGGTATCCAATCAATTATCATTTAACCAATATTTGTTCTGAATTACATGGTGTTATAATGAAGTAATCTCTGAGAAGAGCATTTTAGATATTTAGCCGCCAAAGCAATGTTTTAGGACACCAATCTTCAAGATCCAATCTCCCTTCACTCTAAGTCCCATAGCTTCATCAAGCTCAAGTCTGAGAACCTCTCTATTTCTTACATTTAATGACATTTTTAGATCATGATCTGAACTATTGTAGTTTATGACCTTATTACATTGCATGTGACTGACTGTAAATGATTGATTCTTCACATTTAGGATAATTTCCAGTAAATAGAGGCAGGATGTAGCAGTGGCAAAGCCAGCTGCATTTTGTGACCACTTAGTTGACCAATTGAAGTAATAATCTAAGCCTAAGGTATTAAAATTCCAAACAGCTGACTTATTTTTCCCTATTTTAATGGCTCAGTTGCTAGTATGGTCACTTTTCCAAATACCGTAAGAAAATGTTACCATGTAGGAAATTTCTGTCAATAATTATAATGAAGTTACAGCTTGGGACAAAATTAACAGTATTCCATGAAATATGTAGGAAAGAATGGAAAAAAAAAGTTTTAGAACAAAACTCAAACTGGTTCCAAACTTAAGAGACAAAATGTGCAATTTTGACTTAAAATAAATAATTATAAAATATCTTAAGGAGTAGTATTAATTGAACAGAGGAAGGCTATCTTTGTTGTACAAATCATTAGGAATTCACTAATTATCCTGTAATAAGCAGCAGAGCAAGAAGCTAATAAATCAAAGAAAAAAAATTACACATAGAAGAATGGAACAGCAACTATAGTTACCACTTCCAAAGATTGTACAAAATACTAAGACAGGACTATTCTGCCAGTACTCTGGCAGGGTTCTAGCATTATAACCAGGAGCATAAACTTAAAATTGTTTCTTCCATATCATAGTGAAACCAAGACTTCTGAAATCCAATTATTTTGATGACAATAAAATAAAAAACTAGATTCTTCGTTACTAATGGAATAAGCTACTGGCTTTTCCACCCATTTAAACCTTATTTAGTTTTTCCCACCAAGTGAGAAAAGGCTTGTTGTTGTTATAGGGTTTTTTCTAATAAAATAGGGCTACTTGGGGTTTTAAATTTTTAGTGATTAGTATTAGTTGGTTATCAAGTTGTCGATAGACTGAGAAGGACAAAAAAAGAGAGAGAGAGAGAGAGAGAATATTCAGGTTGTTAAGTCTAGGCGTAACTGAACGCTGAGTTGGGCAAGAAATAAAGGGAAGTGTGAATTCAGTTAGGAAAAAAAATGAGAATGTAAGAGCGAAAGATAGGTATTGCAAGGTAGGCATGAATTGAGTAAATGGGTTAGGAAAGGGATAGAGGTTCTGAGCTGGCAGACCTCTGCAGTTTTCTTTTGAATTTTCTGTTTCTTCTTTTTGTAATTTCATGTTTTCTGCAAATCACTTTTCTGTATGACTTGCTGTGAGGATCGAGTCTCCTCTGTTCTTCATTAATAGAAATACAGTTTCATCAGTTTCCCTATTTAAATATTGCTATAACTGAGTATTGATGATTTATATACATCAATTTGAGATGGAATTGAGTCATTATTCTGTTCTAGCTCAGATCTATTTGTAACTCACATTCCTCTATTCCTTTCCCCATAGTACTCTGGTTTTTCTCCCTTACTCCATTTCTCCCTCAATTTCTTCCTTTCTTTCCCTTTTCCCTACATGTTCCACATCCATAGGCCAATTCATGATATGCACGCTACAGCATAGGCAGAATAAACAAGAAACAATATAATCTATCCTATCGAGAATATACAAAAGAAAACAAAATGGAAACAATTTAAGAATTAAATACATGTCCGGAATATTCATATTTCTAGTTACAGATCTTAAATTGAAGAGGACGAGCACAGACCTTAACAGGAAAAGTTCCCGCTGGAAGTTTTGTTGTAAGGAGTTCTCTTAATCGGCGAATTGCTTTAACTTTGTTTGCAACAATGTCAAGCAACGGCAAGAGTTCTTCAGTTTTTAGTGGGAAGTTTGGAGAAAGCCAAAGAATAGGTCTCAACCCTTTCTTATATTCATTTTCACGATTTCCATCCTTGTGACGACTTCTGCTATCAGAATTTGCAGAAGAAGCTTTGGCATCTTTTCTCTTTCTCTGCTCATCACCCCTTACAAATATCTCAACAGAATGTCTTCCTGGCTTACTCTGATTCCTTGAAGGAGAATCCCCCAATAAATCACTCACCTTTTCTTCTATGCAGAGAGAACTTCTTGGTGGAGCAATGTTCTTAGGCACTTCATGTTTAGAATCCTTTTTTCTCCATCCCCCAAACCATCCTTTCTTTTCCTGCTTATTTTCTCCACTTATGCTACCATTTGCATCTTCAATAGGAATATCCCTAAGTTGATAACAGCTATGACGATGCCCAACTATCCCCTCATCACTCTCATTGTTCAATTCTGACGAATCCAACCTAAGTGCATCTTCCAATTGCCTTCTTTCATCCTCAGTCAAAATATCATTAAGTTCTTCACTCTCTGTTTCGTTTTCATTGCAAGATGAGAAGAGCTCATCATCTGTCATAGCTCCAGGAACTCCTCTAGATTTAATGCTAACAACTACATTGTGCATATCATACACCTTAGCTTTCCAAGACCCTACCATTTCTGTTCTCTCCTGTCGCCTCCAAGTCAACTGAGGCAAAAGAACTGCCTGAGTAACATCAATACCGGGCCTGAATATATTTGTTTTCGACATTGCAGCCACTTCTTGCTGAACCTCTTCATCATTTGCAGGAAAGCCGGCATCGTCTAGAGCATTCATTACCTCCTTTTCCTTGTGCGAAATCATGCAGAGTGACCCGGGCTGGACTTTCCCATCCTCTGAACCATCACCCAGAAAAAGAATGCTCTGATCTGATCTCTGAATTCTAAAACCATCAAAACCAGCCAACGTCATGTCTGCCCTTAGATTTGCACCCCTTTTCCAAATCTTGTAAGTATCCGAAGGCGCAATCCTTGAGATGAAAGGAATCACAGAACTCTCAAAATGGAAAGTAATCTCCATGTAGAAGTCTCTCATCCTCCGCATGGTCCCTACCAAGCGAGGCAACCTTCTACACCATTTTGCCCAAGCCAGAGGCTGATAATGCTTAATTATTATCTTGGCAATACTCTCTTCTCTACTGCAAATGGCTTCCTGAAGAGCACTCCACCCTTGTTCATTCTGTAAACTCCAATCTGCCCCAGCAACCATAAGCATCTCAGTGGCAACTCCATCCCCAAATTTCACAGCCAAGTGAAGAGGGGTATCACGGTTCGGCACATCACGCCGATCAATCACAGCAGAGATGGCATCAGCCTTCTCTTCCTCTAAAATTGAAACTGCTTCAGTACGAATATCAGCCACATCACACAATCGTGGGAGGCCCCCAAGTATCCTCTTAAGTTCAGCATAATCCTTCAAAATTATGGCCTTGTGCACAGGACTATGAGCATATCTCGTAACATCAATCCCCGCCATAGCTCAAGAGCACAAGGGACCACCACCAACCCACACTAACAATCACGAGTTTAAACACATGCCACCATAAAAAATCAAGACTTTTCTCAATTGGGTAACACAAACTAGCAAAAATCCAACCAGCGCTCAAACCACAACGGTTTGTTGATTAAACAAATGAAACAGACCCTTGTTCACAATTTCCCTCTACAATACAACAAAAAAAAATGTCACTATCAATCAAAAATTAAAAATACCCATTTCGAATCAGAAACATAAAAGCACAACAGAAAATCAAAAACAAAGAAAAGCATCTTGTGGGGTCCCAGATCAAGCATTCAAAAGGGGTGGTGGTGGAAGATGCTATACTAACCTCGTTCCTTTCTTGCTGTGTTTTGCTTTGTACTATGATTGCCCCAAGAGTTCAGGGATTAAAGGGTTACTCAAACAAACCCCACCACTTACCCTCTAAGTAGCAAACAAAAAGGAAAAAATGGCAAAGATCCTTATGATCCAATCCAGATCAGACAAGCAACAAGAGAGAGCATACATGTGGGTGCGTGAACCAAAAATCCTATAATAAAAAGAAATATATGAATATTAAATTTAATTTTTTTTTTAAATCAAAAATCAAAAATCAAAAAACACTTGAAAAATTTTTTTAAAAAAAGGGGGAAATTGTTAACAGAATAGTGAAGGAAGGAATAACAAAACTAAGGATAAAGAAAAAGAATATCCCCACCACCCAAGCAAAGAAAGAGGAACTTGTTTATGTTGTAAAGGTATAGTATAGCTAAAAATGGATAAAAGGACTAAAAAGTGAGAGAAGTTAAAAAAGAAGAGATAATTGCAAGGAAAAGAAAAGAATAATGCAGAGTCAAGGTCTTAAAGATTGGGTGTAAGACAAGATAATAGAAATTTCTAATCTCCGAAATTAATTAATTTTTTTATTTTAAGAATAATAAAATTCAAAAAAAACATTAAATAAACTTATCGTCTTATATCTTTGTTTAAAGCATTATTAAATGAGAGAGATCACTTGTTGAGTTATATTCTTAATTTTAATTATCAGTTCCACTTATATTTAATGATTTATGTAATTAATAAATTAAAATTGTTGGATACAATTAGAATCAAGATTAAGATTAATTATCTCTTATAAAATTAACGTCATTATATTTTGATTTAATTGATATATTAATTTTAGAGTTTACATTTTTGTTGACCAAGTTTTATGAAAAATGTGTTTAGAAGAGAGAGAAAAAGGCAGAGGAAAAGTCAGTCAGAGAAGGGAAGGGTCCATTGGATAGAAATGATGGAAAAAGGCAGCGTGCATGTGAACCAGAAAAGAAGGAACCTGCTTTCCTATTTCCTTTTCATTTTTAATGTTAATTCCTGTCTTGAATTTTACACTGGGGTAGATTATTCGATCATTTGATTAATATGTCCCCACCTTATTATCACGAGATTCACACTTTAAATACGGTCGTCACTTGATTTCTTTTTTTTCTTTCTTTCTTTTTTTAAATTTGAATTTTAGTTATATTTACAAGTTAACTTATACTCGCTTATTATTAGATATAATTATTATTCAATATGAATTTTTTTTTTTTAAATACTAATAAGAATATTATTTTTTTTTTTGGTAATCTACTTATAGGAATGTTTTATTATGCTACAAATCATGCAGTAAGTATTGACTGTTGTCCCTTTTCCATTTTTTTTATTATATATACAAAAAATAATATCTTTATTATATTATTTGTGATTAGTTCATTCTTCCAAAATACTTATAATAATTAACTCCTTCTATTAATTTTCATAATATTTGTTATAAGTTTGATATTTTATTTTTCTCCGTATACAAAATAGAGGCTGTGCCAGTTATACAAATCACACTTAAAAATATAACTTGATTATGTTTGACTGTCATTTATGAGTTTGGGGAAATTTAAGTATCCTCGGCCTTTATTAAAAATGTGACCGGCTAATTAACTCATTAGTAGGTACTTGCATGACGGTAAAATAACAACATAACAAAATGTATTTTGAAATAAAATTAAATTGAATGTAGACATATTCTTCTCCATTTGTCATATAATTATTAGTAACAAAATAATCATTACAAAATACTTGTTTTTTACTTGATTTTATTTTTTTACGAAAATTAATAATTAATTTCATGCCTAATACACACCCCTTTTTAGCACACTGCTTACAAAATTTTCAATCAAAACCCATTGAAAACATAGTAGGCAATGGTGGAACGAAGGAAGGGCCAGCGAAGACATTCGCTACCTTCAATTTTATATAAATATTTTAAAAAGGTATTATTTTTAATTTTTTATCGGAATAAGTTATTTTGTCTACTCTTATTTTACCTATCTCTACCTACTCTTCTCAATATTGTTACATTACAATCTCATCCAATAGTGGAGATTTACAATATAAAATAAACATTTTACCCCTTTTTTCTCTCCAACCACCTCTCACTCATTCTCTCTCTTCAGTGGGGCTTCAATATCAAAAAAAAAGGTGCAAGCTTTTTCTTCAATTCATTCAACACAATCATTGTTACGAGCATTTATATAAAAAAAAAATAAAAATAGGGTGTCAAAAAGAAACAAACTCAGATACCTTATGTTATGGAATCAAGTGTCAAGAATAACAATGATGAATTTTTTATTTTGTCTTTTTTAATCTCTTATTTAGTAATAACTTCTCTTGATATTTTTTTCTACACAAACATTTAATTAGAGAATAGGTAAAGGGAAAAAAAATAAAAACTGTGAAAAATAGGGTTCAATTGACTATAAGAAAAAGGATCTCTATTCTCTCTATGTTACGCCCAACAATAGGCCTACCTGGTTCCATAACATAGGGCATCTGGGTTTATTTCTTCTTGACACCCCCGTTTTAATTTTTTATGTAAATGCTCGTAACAATGGTTGAGTTGGATGAATTGAGAAAAAAAGCGCCATTGAAGAAAGAGAAAGGGAAGGAAAAAGAAAGAGTGAGAGACAGTGGAAGAGAGAAGGGGATAAACGAGTTTATTTTATATTGTAAATATTCATCGTTGGATGAGATTGTAATCTAACGATATTGAGAGGAGTAGGCAAAATAAGAGTAGGCAGAATAACCTATCCCTTTTTTATCATCTAATTCTTCTCCCTTTAAAATCTACAAAAACATTTAGTCATAAGTATCATTTTTATTTTTTTATCATATAAAGAGTTACAATTTTAAAGGACCTAACCTACAACCAAATTAGCAACAACTTCTACTAACAAATATTTTGTTACAACTATATTACTTAGTTACAACCTCTTTGTGAGTTCTAAATCTACTAATTGATAACAGAATCATCTCTGTTTGTGCTTACACATACATCTCCTTATAGAGTTGCCTTGGAGGAATTTTTTGATCATCCAAGGATGATCATTAGGCATAAAATTGGTTCAGTAGCTCTACCTTTTCTCTACAATATTTCATGTCTAATATCTTGTAGTGTAACACCCCGTTCACGGCCGATTTTTTATCTTACTTTATGGTATTAAGCGTAGTTAATTAATCAAATAAATGCGGAAGCTGAACATATTAATTAATCGATTAATCTCATATAAGAACGTGACTAAACTTTTTCCATTCTACATTAACTTATAATAATTACTTGGGTGTCAAGTTAGTTGCAATGTATATTACTTGTTCTTCCAATTATTTTATTTACAATTTACATACATGATTATTTACAAATTTCATGAACTTTATCTTATGAGAAGACGTCTTTAAACTTAATGTCCCCTTTTAAAACATACAAGTCTTGATATCTATATTATCAAATTACCTTTTATTTTTCATGTTTAACCATATTTAGCACTTCATTACTTATATTCTACATTTTATACAATTTTTACCCATTTCATCCATTACTTATTCATTAATTTAGACATGTGAATTCTAGATGTCTTACTTAGTCTTATTCATACATTTCGTAATAGTCATGTCATTATATTTCAAGGCAATTATACAAGTCATACATACTAATTGATAATGCCTAGCAATTCATTGCATAGGTTATCATATACATACCATTATTACAATTATCATCACTTAATGAAACATGTCATAACATCATATGACCAACTACAATTACTCAATAATATAAGCTTATTCAAGAAGGCATAGACAACCACTATGCTTACATCAAATATAAACATATACAATATGTATCAAACTGGCACCCATATCTCATATAAATATATATAAATCTCAAATGATAGCAATGCATGCATCATGTCATGCTAAAATCACTACGCCGACCTCATGCCACGAGATGCATCAACATCAATAATCTCAATACCTGAAAAAAAAATTTCCCAAACAGGATGAGATGAAAATATCTGTAAACTAGGGTTCTCGAAGGATCACTCTGCCTCAAGTTCACTTACAGGTATAATATAACACCTCACATTTCTAAGTTTAAATATTAAAATATTAAATTAGAATTAAAGGGAAGGATTAGTGAAAATCCTGAAAATTAGGCCAAAATACAAAGAAAGGGCAAAATAGTAATTAGCCAACACGCAACCCTAGGAAGATAAAAATTGAGTAGAAGGTCTCAGATGGTAAAAGTAACCCTGGAGATGGATTCAAAACGAAAAATTGAGTGGATAGGCAAGTTTCAGAAAATTTAGTGAATAGTGTTTTTACCGGGTAAAAGTATCGCGGTACAGTTGCACCGTAAAGCGTGTCGATTGAGTTTTGAGCTCTAGGTTTTGAATATGAGTTATAAATGGTCTATAGAACTAAGAAATATGATTTTGATAAAATTTGATGGAATTAAGTTAGTTTGGGAAAGCATGCCAACGGCGCGCGCAACAGCTTAAAACTACAGTATTTCCGAATAACCGGAAAACTCAGGATTCATCTGATCAAGTATAAGTAAAGGACAATGGTTAATGTTAAAAATTATAGTTTCTAAATAGGTTGTGAATTTACGGACGTTTAGTGGATTAAACGAGAGTTAAATCAGTTTGAAAACGCGTGAGGTGGCGGTGGGACCCACCCCTTCTTTAGCACTTAAGACACCTAAGCTTGTACTATTCATTGTCACTCCCATCTCTCTTCTCTCACCTAGAAACCGCGACAGCCCCCCCCCCCCTCCCCTTGGAGCATCACCATTTGATTTTTCTTTTCCTTCTAACTCACACAAAACTTCATCAAATCCATTGATTCTTAACTTGAATTTCATTGGAAATCACCTTCTAAAGCCATTGGTGGTACCCTTGAACCATGAAAATCACTAGATTTTGAGATATCTCTCCCCAAAGGCCGCGGCTCACCTTGAGAGATTTGTGCTCATGGAGTTTCTAGATGCTCCAATGGTGGAGTATGTTTAGGAGGAGCCTTATGCCAAGCTTTTGAGTAAGTTTCCTTGCATTTAAACGGTTGAATCATGTGATTGGATTTATGAACCCTAAAGAGGGCTTAGTTGATTGATGTGTTTAGAGAGCTCAAATGGAAAATGTTTGTACATGAATGTGTCTTAGAATGATGTGTATTAGCCATAAATGCAATAAAAATTATTGGTGAAAAATGTGGACTTTTAACTTAGAAAATTTTTAGGTTATCATGACTTTGAGTTTTGGAAATGTGTTAGGATTGTATTGGTGAGTTGTTTTATGATTGTATGTTGATTTAATGGGATTGTATGAGGTGTAGAATGGTTAAAATTGAGTAAAGATCCTTTGGAATTGCTTACGCTACAATTCGGCCATTTAGGGAATTGTAGGGATTTGATCTTGTTGGCATGGCTTGGATGATGAATCATGTGTTA